GTAGAGAATCCTAACCCCACTCATCTCTAACCCAAGCCAGGAGAAAGGGAGCAAACCTTTATTCTGGGCCAACACTCAGTATCCTCAGGAGTTGTGAGGGCCCCTATTAGTATCCTCCTTTGCAGATAAAGACATAGCCTATAATGGACTACTCACCCCCAGGGTTGCCCACCCATTCAGCCAGGCCTGTCAGACACCCAGGCCTCTGCTCTCTGCATTACGACCCCCAAGTCTACTACACCTGCTCTCACTTGTGGCCGCACCCCCTTGTCAGGAGCATGGAAGGGAGAGCTATTCTCTTTCTCCCCACCATGACTCAGTTTAGACAACCACAAGGCAGGCGTGGGGCCAGAGGTCAAGAGATCACATATACAAGCAGCCACATGCCTTTGGTCCTTCACATGGTCAGGCTTTGACATTAGGTCAAGGTCTTTAGTCAGCTTGGCCCACAGTTGGTGCTCCATAAATCCAAGTCCCCTTATTCCTTCCCAGGTCCTGTGTCAGTAAAGCAGATAAGCTTATCCAGCATCCTATCCCCACCTTTTGCTTTAGGAAATGTTCCCCACTTCTCAAGTGTTGCTTTGTGTTGCTTCACCCCCCCACGGATTTGTCACCCCTCTTCCCCTGGGTGATGGAGATGCAAAGGATTACTCAAAGCCCCTCTCTTTGAGCAGTGAGAGACCCTGAAGCAGTTAACTTCCCTGGAACCCTCCAGCAAGAAGGATCCCTTCCTCGGGAAATTAACCCCAAATTGGGGTTCTCTTCCTGCATTTATTTTCCAGACCAGGAAGTTACAGGAAGAGAACATAGGTGGGGTTATAGTTTAACAATATAGGCTGAAATAAGCAAGGTGACATTCCAGTAAGGCTATCAACAAAGCTTAATCTTAGCAAACATTCCTTCTCTCTCTAACAGTTTTCCAGCAACTTAGATATCAATCAGTAACTAATCTGTCTTTGAGCCAGCAACCTTGCTGTGCCACAAATCTTTATCTTACACCAGAGACTTATAGCCTGAGGGAAACTTCCATTCCTTTGCAAGGTCAGTATTTGAAACTGCAAGGCTTTGGAAAACCAGGCCCTGTGAGGTACATATGCTTTATAGTATATTCCACACTCAAGGATGCCCTTCAATGCTTGGGCCTGCCTTCCCTCCAGCCAGCCCTATTCCCAGCTAAAGCCCCAATATATATATTCCCCACTAAAGTAACAGAATCACCCTACAGGGTGATGTGAATGTAAAAATACACTGGATGCTGGCAGTCCCTAGCTCTAACCCCTGCTATGGCTCCTCACTTTTCTGCAGATGAGCTCCAAATTCTGAGTCTGGCACTTAGGGGCCCCTCCTGATGTGCCCCTGTGGTCATTTCTCCTACCCCTTACCACCGGAGTTCCAGCCCTCGGGGCTGCATATGATCCCAGCATGCCACATTCACTCATCTCTGAGCTTTTGCACATGATGTCCTGTCCTAGAATGCCTTTTCTCACCCTGTCCACCGAGGTGATTCCTATTTGTCCTTGAGGAGACTGCTCCTGCACCTCCTCCTCTTGGAAACCTTGGGGATACCCTTGGATTGTGAAGGATACCTCCTCTGGGCTCCTATAGCCCAATGTTCCTCCTACTCTAATTGTGTCTTTGGAACTGGCTTTCCTGCCAGACTGGGAGTTCCTAAAGGCGGGACCTGCCTTTCCTCTTCTGTCCTTGTTGCCCAGCCTAGGGCCACACAGAGAAGACACTTGGGGAACACTGAATGAGAAATGCAATGGTAGGGCCTGCTCTGGGTGGTCTGGCTGGAGCCCAGGTTCCAGATCCTGCCCCAATGGACAGTCACTCCACTTGGTGGGATCTGACTCACAAGGTCCTCTCCCTCCTTCCTCCCTTCAAGTTCACCCAAGGCCTCCCCAAAGTGGCCGCAGCCTAACTCACCAGTGTTGGCTCCCCCCACCCCATTCACACACACACTGCTCCACGCCCACCAGGCTTCCACCCTGCATGCCTCTGCTGACACTGAGCCCTCTGCCTGGGATGCCTTGGTTCCCCCATCCCACTCTCTGAAATGCCACTGCCTATTCAAGACCCAACTTAAGTCCACATCCTCAGGCTGAGAGTGGCTTATCCACCCTGCTGCACTTCATCTGAGTCACTCTCATGGCCTTGACCAGGCTTGGCCTCAGACTATAGTCACTGGCAACGTGGCATGGTGAAGGGAACCTGGGCATTGGAGACTAACAAATGGGGACTGACTCCCAGCTCTGACACTCCCAAGCTATATGACCTTGGGCAAGTCACTTTACCTCTCTGAGGCTCCATCTGTAAAATGGGGATAACGATTACCCCATACATTTGCTGTGAGATTGAGACGATGGGGGTCAGGATCCCGGCACACAGCAGGCACTCAGTCAAGTGCTTTTATGTCTGGGTCTGTTTCCCTAGCCAGGTTGCCAGCCTATTATAGTCAGGCTGCAGGTCCCATTCCCTGCCACATTCCCATAGTCCCCAACACAGGGCCTCACACCAGCAGTGCTCAAAAATGCATTCACTCCTGCTACTGGGGGTAGTGGGGGAGGGACGTTGGGTCCTGAGCTGAGAAGGCCATGGTGGGGGTGGCAAGTTCAGAATCAATGACAGGAGATGAATGCAGAGGGAGGGGCTAGAGCCCCAGGCAGAGCTGCTGATATGCACTGGGGGTTTTATTGGTTTTCATTAAAATTCCTTCCCAAGGCAGAAGCAGCTACTCCCATAAATAACGGCATAAATATTTTATCTGGTGCCCAAGTCAGTCTAAATGCACAGCAAAGTTGGCAAGAATAATAATGGGAAAACAGTTTAGGGGGGTCCCGGGCTTCAGTTGAACTGGACCCACTTAACATGCCCAAAAGGGCTTTCTGAGGAAGGTGGGAACTGAGGGGAGGTGCCAGAGGGGAGAAGTGGTGGGCAGTGGGGAAGAGAGAAGGTGACCAGTGGAGTATGTCTGGGGAGGGGAAGAGAGGGAACGTATCCCACACCTGCTCTGTGATGGGCACCTTACTGGGGGCATTCACACAGCTCAAATTGTCAAAAGCCCTGTGGTCAGAGAATTGAAGTGACTTGCCCAAGGCCACCCAGCCAGTCACTGGCAGAGCCAGGACTATAATCAGGGGTGTTTAAGGCCCAAGTCCTTCCTACTGCACTTGCTGCCTCTTGGGGTTCAGGGAAAGCATGGGAACTTTTGAACAATAGCCTGAGCACCTCAATGAGCAGCACGGGGCTATTCTCTGTTTCCCCAGATCCCGATGGAGGAGAAAAGGGGCTGGTACTTCACCATGGCAACACTCTTCATCAGGTCAGGCAAAGGGCTGGGGTGGGGGATGGAACTGGGGGGAGGTGTGTCCTGGCCAGCTCGGCCTAGAACCCAGTCAGGAGGGGCAGGACAGAGGTGGGGGCAAGGGCTTCCCAAGGAAGGCACCCTCTTTGCCATCGGTCTGGGAAGGGCTCGAAGCACGATGGAGACAGCTGGGAGGGATGCCAACCTGTCACATCCCCTTCTCGGCCACAGGCTGGATGGCATCTTCCTGGAGCTGGGCAGTGAGGAGCAGAAGAGGCTACCCACCTTCAACCGCACGCTGGCCCTGCTCCGGCAAGTCCTCAAGTCCTCTGACCCCCACCACCGAGGTAGGGGCCCTGGGGAGGGGTGGAAGAGCAGCCTACACCTGTCACTTGCCCTGCCTGCCTCTGGCACTGTCCCCACCTCTGGCATCATCGCTCTTTTTTGGTCCTCGTTTCTTTCTCCCTCGCCTGTCTCAGACACTCACTTGTTCACTTGACTCAAGGAGCCCAAACATCTTGCCCACGTGAACGCACCGATCACACATCACTGTCATTGCAGGCCTCTGGGTCTGCATTTTGCCACCTGGAGTGTGAGCGCTAGTGTGCCCTATCTCCGCCGACCACCCCATTTTATGGTTGGTGGAATGAGGCTCTGTTGGACAGGAGTCGAGTCACTCCCTCCCAGGGCAGGCAGCTAGCACAGGGACCAGAACCCTCAGCGCTAAACAGCTGGAGTCAGAGGAAAGCTATGCCCTGAAATGAGGTGTCCCAGGTGACATACTAAACAGAGAAGAAGCACTGACATGCATTTCTTCACTCCCTCGCAAGGCCCCTCTCCCCACCTGTTTCTCTCTGTCCCTGGGTTGCCCTCGGTGATTTCACACCAC